TACTACTACTACTACTACTACTACTACTATAAAGTTTTCAGAAGTGGTCAGAAATGAAAGGCTGGCAAGCATACACTATCTGAGCATCTGCAGGGGTCGGTGTGCCCTGTTTTCATTTTCCAGTATTGAAAGGTGATGGTTATCTAGATTCTTGGGATGATTTCTTAAATGATCCCTGCCAGCGTTTGCAGCACAGCTGAGGTTTCATACCTGCAAAGAGTTGCTCTGTATATCACCTGTCAGTGCTGCTGCTTTGCTGCAGTGAAGCAATCACGGGCATCTCATTTGTCGGAAAATGCTGAGATGTCCCTGTGTTTCTCCACCTGTAAAAAATTCTGATTTTGGGCCAGCAGCTCTTGCACAGTGTTTCCTTTTGGCAAAAGCCTGTCTACCAGAATTTTTGCTGGACTCTTCATTACAACTGGCAGGAAAAAATGGATAAGGGTGAACAGTTCTGTCTGCTTTCTTTCCTTTTTAATAATCCTGTTTTGGAGTGGCAGAGTGGGAGAGGACTGTGTGCTGGCAGACCTTTTGTATTTTGTGTCACAGGCTGTTGAAAGAGTTCTCAGACATATAACTTTCTTTTCGTGCACTTTAAGGTCATATCCCACCACGTGTAGACATATGGCGGGCTGGATAATCTTTCTTTCATCACCAGAGAATGAAATGCTCTCGGTAGCTTTCTGTAGCCAACAAAAATCTTTTTGTCTTTCTTCTCTCCCACTGTTTTCCCAAGCAGCAAGTTTGCTAAAAGGCTTCTCCTTGAAGGGGGGAGCACCTGCTCCGAGATACGGGCCCTCAGGCAAAGACAAACGGCCAAGATGAAATGAAGGGTCTGGCAAACAGTGGTCTGCCAGTGGCAACTGCAGCCCGGTTTTGTACAAAACAGCCCTACAATTTTATTGAGCTTCGTTGTAAAGAAGTTAAGGAAGTGGATGAGAGCCGCGGGGCAAAGTTCAGAAACAAAAAAAGTGCAATTCGCGGCCCAAAGGTGGTCTCATAAAGATAACAAAACCCGGTATTTATCCGCCTGTGAAAAGCTGGCCCGACAAAAACCTGTGGTCTGTTCCACGTCGTATTGCATATATGTAGTGACTTTGCTTGTGGTGATTTGTCTACTATAGAAACTGGATGGCTTCTACGGTGAGCCTGGGTAAAGAAACATTGTTGGAAGATGGAATGCCACCTGCAAAAAAGCCCAGGTAAATTTAATTATACTCCAGTGAATTTCTTCTAATAAGAGTTTTTTCCGTAACCTTGCATTGTTCTTTAAAGAGCATGACGCTTGGCACCAAGCCCCAGCAGTCGTTTTGGTTGCTGATCCAAGAAAACCACGCTGTCTCTAGCCGTGCCCTGTAACTAGTATTTTTCTGCGGTGCATGGAACAAAGGCCTTAACACCCAGAACGTACTTCGTTGCTGTTTTTTTTAACCTCTAAGCCAGGATGCATGGTTGCACAGAAAGCTGTTTTGGACTGTACTCTCTCGATGGTTTGGATCGGTGTTAACCCTAGCTCAGGTCCTGTCCACACGCAGGGTCACGTCAGGTGTGGTCATGCTTCTTCACTTGAGTTGGACGCCAGTTCCCGGGAGGATGGGCAACTAGTCAAGTTAGTATGATTTTGCTGCGTGTGAAAGCTAAATAATTCCACTCTGGAGGCTCCCCATGCTAATAAGTAGGTCGTCTTACACTTCTCCAAGCAGGGACCTGAGCACAACACTAACTTGGGGCATACGTACGCTTCTTTCCGTCCAGGGTTGGTACTGTAGCTGCTGCAATAGCATGGGCTCAGAAATTAAGGCATTGCCGTCTGCAAACGAGCAGATAATTAATCTAGTGAGTTGTCTTCCACTATTCTGATCTATTTATGAGTGACGGAGGGCTGGAAAATAGTTTCTGTGAGGGAGCCCTGGTCTCAAGGTTGGTCCAGTGACTGTGAAATGAGCAGAAAAGAGGCTGAGAGATTGTTTTTTCTTGCTCAGGATATCAGGGTAGAAACAAGTGTATTTATCATCGTGGGAACAGAATGCCTCTTTCAGAGTTGTCGTATAGGACATTAAGACTTGGGTATTTGTTATTACTTTGGATTTCAGTCCCTAGGTTTCTGGTTGTGTTTTTATATTAGCTCATTAGCATGCATACTAATTTATTATTTTAGTGTGAGGCTTGCAGTCCCAAAATGAAAACCCATTTATCACCAGTAACAGTGAAGACCTCCTCAAGAAAAGGGTTAACTCATCTGTTTTCATAGGCAGAAGTGGAGGGAAGGCAAAGCTCCATCTGTGTGGTGTCGGTTTTCTTTCCCCTTCTCGCTAAATATCACGTGTCTGCAGATAAAAAAACATTCCTTCCAAAGGAGCTGCCTCCCTGGGCTGCTGCTTCCATCCTCCGGGAAGCTGCAGCTGGTCCCCTGCTTCAGAAAAGCAGCTTGATACCAGGCAAGGCATGATGAGGAGAAGCACATCTACTTAATAAATAATAAACATCAAATTTAAAAGCACTGTGCAGGTATAGAGCTAGGAAAATAAGGAAGAGGGGAAGAGGAGGAAGGAGAATATAGCCACGCAGCTCTTTCATAAGACTTTTCATGTGATCTGAGCTTACAAGTGTCCCGCTTACGTTGCAAGAGAAACAGGGAAGGGATTTCTGGTACGGCAACGTCCTGCTAAGTGGTTTTCTCAGCAAAGATGGGCTCGGGGTGGAAAATCCTCTGCAGGGCAGAGCTGGGAGGAAGCCTTTGCTTCCTTCCTTTTGTGCTGGGATAAATGGGGCTGCTGTCTTCAGGACCCCGTTTGGCACCTTATTTAAACCAGGAGCAGTCACGGTTGTGTTTATTCCCTGCGTGGTGGTCCGATGTGTGCTTTGTCTCAGTACATAAAGAGTCTGTATATGTCTCTACAGCCATTTCTATTCCATATTGCTCACCACACCTTTTCCAGGATCTCCAGCCTTTCTCCTAGCTTCCGGGTAACTATTATTAAGAAGACCTCCCTTATTCCAAACTTTAACTGAATTAGTTTTGCTTCAGAAGTATACCTGGGCGGTACTGACTTCCTCAGTAACCGCCTCAGTAACAGACTCGATTGCCAAATATGTTGTACTTATGTACCTTGTAATTGTGGGCGTTTGTGATGCTGATCCATGGAGCTGCACGCTGTCTTTTAAGGGATACTGAGGCTGCTCTTCTCATTCTCCGTTTATGAGGGGACCCTAATGGACACGTTGATTCAAAATTTAGGCAGAGAGTACCTCCCTTGTCCTTGGTCTGCATGCTCCATGACCCGAGACATCCTTCCACCTCTGACGGTACCAGCTGTGCTACTTTCTTCTCTTGCAGGAAGCTGTTGCCAAGCCTCAAAACCAAGAAGCCTCGGGAACTTGTTTTGGTGATCGGGACAGGAATCAGTGCAGCAGTTGCTCCCCAGGTCCCAGCGCTGAAGTCTTGGAAGGGGTTAATCCAGGCTCTCCTGGATGCCGCTATTGACTTTGATCTCCTGGAAGATGAAGAGAGCAAACGGTTTCAAAAGTGTCTCCATGAAGACAAGAACTTGGTTCATGTTGCCCACGACCTTATCCAGAAGCTGTCTCCGGTGAGTGTGCTTATAGCACTGTACGTAAATATTCAGTACTCTGCCCTGCGCATAGGACTTGGCTTTTGGAAATAGCTAAATTTAGTTCTCCAGCGTGCCCCCATCTCCACCAATTCCTCTGCCTACAAGGAACCTCAAGTGCAGTTACTCTGCTGGGTTCCCAAGACAGAATTGTGCCATGGACACCAACTTTTGGGTATTTTACTTGGAGTATGCTGGGGGGGAGTACCCACCTCAATGCAGTAAGTGCTCTGTGTTTGCCTTACCTATAGCTTTGCAGAGGTCTTCGAGAAATATGTGGGTAGTTTTTCATTGAGTCACTTGGAATGAAGCATTAAAAGAAGCCCCACTCTGATCTTAATCTGTCTCCCCTTCTCAGCGCACAAGCAATGTTCGCTCAACCTTTTTCAAAGACTGTTTATACGAGGTGTTTGATGACCTGGAATCTAAAATGGAAGATTCTGGGAAGCAGCTGCTTCAGTCTGTGCTTCACCTAATGGAAAACGGGGCACTTGTGTTAACCACAAACTTTGATAACCTGCTGGAACTGTACGCAGCACACCAGGGGAAGCATCTGGAGTCTCTTGACCTGACTGATGAAAAGAAGGTAAACGATGATGGTTGTTTTTTGTCAGGGCTGAGCTGGGACAACACAGGACAGTGGCGGCTGTGGGATATGCCCTCACGCCCGTGTAAGGGGATTGTACTGTTTGTAGTAATTTAATTGACCTTAGACAAACTCCAAGCAGAGGCTCTGACCATTTGGGGCGGTGAACAGAGGAACGAAGACAAATGTACGCTTTTGAAATGCTGTGCTTGCTGGTTGACATCCATTGCTCAGGAGGAGCCCTTAAGCCTGGTATTTCTTTGATCTCTGTCCTTAAAACTTCTGGCTTGGCCTTGCTGAAGTATTGCAAGCCTCACTTCCACATAAGGCTTGGATTGACGTTTCTAACTGACACGGGAAACTCTGCACGAGACACAAAGCTGAGCTTTCTATTTTTACAACATGGTGCAGAGTGCTTTTCGTGACAGAGCGTTTTTGGGGCTGTAGCCTTCAAGGCTTCTCTCTTGCCCTATGTCCTCTTTCTGAAATGGCTGAGTGGCTCCTGCTGGGTTACTTGTGTGCTCCGGCTTCATCTGCCGTGCTCTCGGATTTGTAGCTGCTCGCTTCATGCAAGCTTCCTTCCTTCTGCCCCAGGTCTTCAGTCAGGCAGAAAATCAGACTGTCAACCCTGAGCTCTATGCCACCTGCCCACCTGATCTTTCCACTCTGGGTTTTACTGGTGGGGAGCATCTTGTCCTTCTGTTTACTTGTTAAACACGTGCCATGTGTAGGTGCTGCGCAGTTGGTCTCTTTCCATTCTGAGTCATTTCTGTGCTTCATGTTGCCTGCATGACCTCTTAATCTGCATGGCTGGAAGTACTTACAGTGTTACAAATAAGCATTCTAATTATTACGAGCTTAAACAAGCTAAGGTTTGCAAGAGTAAACTGAGAGCCTTGGAAGTGGCTTTCTGAAATGAAGGTCAGCTGTTGAACTTCCTCAGTTCTTCTCAGAGCCTAGAGAGGCCAAGAAATGAAACTTTGTAGGCTTGAGAAACATGCAGACGTAATATTTATAGAGTTTTCCCCTTTTTCTGCCAAGTCTGGTATATTCATTCAGT